ATATCGTTCTTTTCAGGTTTTTTTGTGATATATACTGAGTATGTTGTTGTTGTTATTATAGTATGACTACTAGAAATTATCGATGGACGAAATTCTGTAGCTAAACAATTAAAATTTCATGTTAATTTTATTTAGTTATGGATTAGTGACAGATCGTAAAAAAAATCAACCATCTAGGAGTTTTTAAGTGATGGATTAACTAGGTATTACGGATAAATTTTATAATTAATTTCAATTTTTTTATTTTGTATACGTTGAATCAACTTGACTGTATATGAATATGTTTTTATATTTAGAATATTCTTAGTGAAAACTTTAATTTTCACTAATATTGCAATTTATATCGTCTTTTAAGTTCAACTGATCAAATTCATATCGAAAAGCCTTATTATATGTAAGGGTTCAAAATGATTTTTTTTTATCAAATCAATTTTCAAGATTTAAATCTACAACAATTGATACAAGTTACATAACTTTAGTGTCTAATTATGTGCCTTACCTTTAGTTTTTGAAATTACCACATTTACTATGTTTCTGTTGGAGTTAGATATATGCGAATTAAATAAGGTGTAGTTTAATTTGTTCGAGATATACAATATTCAAAATATATATTCAATATCAGAGACACATAAATCTATTATCGTTAATATATGTATTTGACTTAAAATCTAAGGATGCGGTGTATCTAACTTGAACTTTCATACAAAATTATTAATTAGTAAGATAATATGTAATTATTTCAAATATAAATGAATTAATAGTATTTAAGGTAAAAAAATGTATAATTATATATATTTTCTTTAATCTAAGTTTCTTTATTAAAGATAAATGAAAACTTTACTTTTCAATGAAATATTTGATAATACATTTCACATTGTTTATGCTTCCTATTAGAGATTCCTTAGACGTCAACAATTACACCCTCTTCATTCTATAAACAACAAAAGTATGGTTGGTATTAAACTAAGTAATATAACTAATAAATAAATTAATTAAAAAACACATAAGAGAAGCTTCTAATGTAATAACAAAGGTAGTTCAAATATACTTTGAATTACAAGTTTGAATTTTCAGTGTAATATTTTAGTATATATTATTTTCTTAATTATTTGTTAGACTTTTTGACTCCACTAGTTCAAATAGTTGTAATTTGAATTTCTACAATATATATAGCTTCTTCAATGTCAAAGTATGTTCTTTGCTTTTATTTGTTTACCATGATTGAGGGAGGGGACAAACATAACCATTTTAAAATAGACAATTCACATCAATATATTTTATTTAGAAAAATTATATAAAGTTCGAAATTAATAAAATCAAGTGAGTTTTAGAATAAATTGAACATCTCTACTTTGAGTACACCAAAATTTTAGTGGTCCAATGGCATAGAAATTCATTTTTTTAACTTGTATAGCCGATCAGAAAATAATAGAATATACATATATTTTATTTTTATTTTGTACGAAATAAAATAACTCTTATCGATAAACCTGTAACCTATGAAGTAACATTAGGGGTGACAAAATGGTTAGAAGTTTTGGTATCAATTCGATCCAATTATATTTTAAATGGTTGGATATTCAATCATTTCAAAATTACATTAAACATGGATCACACATTATCCATCATAGAAAATATGAATAATCCATAAGTATCCACCAACTAGACTCCCCTTCAAATATGTAAACGTGTGGAAACTTCTAAAAAGTGCACTTATTAAGGGCATGTTTGGTATGGAAAAATATTTTTATATATTTATATATACACATATATCAAGAAAAATATTTTGTCAAAACTTTCCTTCAACCTCATGACCTCTTCAAAATAGGTTTCTATCCGATATCTCTATGAGATGAGGAATTCCTCATAGCTAGATTCAAACTTTTGATCCTGACTCGAGATTTAAATATAACCTCGATATGAGAAACAAGATTAGACTTCCAATTATGAATCCGATCCAAAATCAAGACCTGAATTTCGATATAAGACTTAATTCTCGAATCCTGACTTAAAACCTACTCCTGACCTTGATTAGACTCCTAACCCCATCCCTTGACTCTGATTTCTAACCCCAACTTAGAATCCAACTCACACTTTTAACCCAGGACTCGATTCCTAAGACCCAACTCCCAACATTGTCCCCGACCAAGATTTAGAACCCAACCCTTAACCTCGATCCTGACATTGGTCGGTGACCTATCCCTATTCGATATTTGAAACCTAGTCTCGACCTATGACCTTATTCATGACCTTGACCTCGACCCTGACTCTAACAATCGATCTCAATCTAAGAGCCGACTTGAGACTCGAATTCTAATTCAAATTTAAGATTCAACTCCTTATACTAATTTGGGACTTGGGTCCCAATCCGGAACACGACTCTCAACCCTAAATCAATGCCCGTCTGACGATTCATCTATACACCATTTAATAGTTAGTCATATATAACTAATACATATACAAATTACGAGAAAATTGATATATTATTTTAAGGAAGACAAAAAAAATAAAATAACTAAAATTTGCATCAGTAATACTAGCATAATTCTAAATAGCTACCAAACAACGATTCCTAAATAATTGAAATATATAAACATTAATAGTTAAATGGATATGAATGCTTTTAAGTACAAGTAATTAAGGAGAAGGGTACATTGGTGAGATCCAGCTGTTACGTGTGACATAACATGACTTCATCCTTACGAAGCACGAAACTCTTTTTACTATTTTTGTATTTCATTCACATTAACCAAACTTTTCTTTACATTTTTGGTCCAAAAGTTTCCCAATTAAAGCATCTTAAGTCCTTCCACCGTCCACTAATTTGCACCCACACTTTTATTACTTCTTTCGTCCTAATTTATATTGTTGTATTTGATCAGACATCAAGTTTAAGACGAACAAAACACTTAAAATTATATGATTTTAATGTAAAGTTATAATCTTTTGTATGATTATAGATTATTACATGTAGTACACGTGATTAAATAGTTTTGAAATTATAATTTATGAACTAATTTATCTCACTTGAAAGTATGAGATAAAATTTACACGATCAATGAAGCATAATATTCATTTTTATCGTCTATTTAATTATGAAATATCTTACCTTATTAGCGTATCAAAACGAGTGAAAGAAGAGGTTTAATACACTTTTTACTATTTATGTGTGGCGTAATTTTTATTTTCTTTCACATAAAAAAAATCCTTGCTTTTTTAGTCCAAAAGTTACCTAATTTAAGCTTTTTGTGTCCTTCTACCGTCCACTTATTTCTCACCACAATTTCTACTCTTTTAATTTTATTTTTTTTACTTTTTCACTTTTACTCTCTGTAATCTGAATATGAAAAAAGAATATACTTTCTCTTCCATCTCATTTCCCTATTTATTTATTTACAAAAATACTATATTTTATACAATTTATAACAATTTTTATTTTATTTTACTTAGATAAGTGTATATTTATAGTTAGAGAATCACATGATAGGTTTATGCTTGATTTCAATTTATTATTTTTTCAATTTTATACTCAATTAAATTATACCGTATAAATTAAATTGATGTATATACCTTCACTAAAACAAATGAAAAATTTGGATATTGTTATATAATTTGAAGAAAACAAAAAAAACAATAAAAAGAAAACAATTAATTATTATTCTTCTGTTTCCGGAAAATAGTTATAATATTCGGGAAAAAATCCAAACATTAGTATGAATTCCAAAATCTATAAATTTAAATGCTTGAAATATACATAAAACATGATTTATAATTAACACTAGGACAAATTAATAGTTAATAATTAATAAATGCTTAGAAGACAAATGTCACAAACAACTAATCTCAATTTAGATCTGAATTCCTTATTATTATGATTTATGTCTCATTTCTCTCGTTATTAGAAAAATAAAAGTTTCATTTTTTTCTGTAACCCTAGTAAAAAAGATAATTTTAAATCATAATTAGAAGTTGGAAAAAGAAATTGAGCACTTGAAGTCCACAACAAATACAACATTATATGCTAATGGCTAAAAAATGAATGAACATATTTTAGGAGTGAAAAAAAAACGAGTGGTAAACTGATTTAAGCGACGAGAATTCCATTATTATATCATAAATTTAGATTAGTCGAAGTCAAGATTAGAAATTTGAGAATTCTAAAACTTTTATCGATAGTTGGGTTTGAACCTACAACACTAGTGTTTCTTACTACTTAGCCGCGATTCAATTCTTTTAAGGGGTTCATAAGTTAGTAAATATATACTCCATTCGTCCATTATTATTTATCATAATTTTTATTTTTAGAGTTAAATTATAAAAACTTTGACTAATATTTTTCAAATGTATTTTTTAATCATATTGATATGTAAAACAATTTATAATCTAAATTTTTTGTTTATAATATCGAATTAATATAATCTAACTTAACTTTAAAAATTACTCAAATTGACTTTCGAAAAGCGCAACATGATAAATAAAAGTGAACGGAGAAAGTATATATGTTTATTTAATTTTGACAAATACATCGTCTATATAAAAAGTTAGTTAACCCCCACCTAGTTCTGCCTTTGGTCGAAACCTACATAAAGACTCTATTAGACCATGCTTCCCCTTAATCTTTGGTCGAAGCCTACATAAAGACTTTATTAGATCCCGCTTCCCCTCAATCATACTACAAATTCAAATCAATCAAACTTTCAATATAGATATCAAACACCGAGTCAGAACTTAAAAAAAAAAAAAGGGAAAGAAAGAAACGTCAAAGGAAAATGAGATTGAGTCTATTTTACGCAAAATGAGTCGTCCATATTCTATTCTCCTTATCTTTCAAAATTCTAAAATTCTAAAAAAAAAATAAAAAAATCCCCCTTTTCTTCAACATCCCTCTCTTTATTAACTATAAAATAAATCCACACTTTCTCTTATATAAATACCACACTTTTCCTCTTCTTCTTCAAATGACAAAATATTAACAACTTGAATTTCTTTTTTCTCTTCAAATTAAATTTATGGAGAAGGTTAATTTTTTGAAAAATGGTGTATTAAGATTACCCCCAGGTTTTCGATTTCGTCCCACCGATGAAGAACTTGTGGTACAATACTTGAAGCGTAAAGTCTTCTCTTTTCCTTTGCCAGCTTCTATTATCCCTGAAGTTGAAGTTTACAAATCTGATCCTTGGGATTTGCCAGGTTGGTTCATAGGAATTCCCGTTACGATAGAATGTCTACATCACACTTTTTGCCATCCGTCAGAGGCCCTCTCCTTTTTTCGAGCCTTAGATAAAAATAATAACCAATATAAATGAATTTGAATCGTAAAATTAAATTATTAGGTTATTTTTATAAAAATATATTTTTAAATTTGCGCTAAATTTACGAAGGGAATAAAATATTCTCGATTAAAGGATTGCTTTTTTTTTGGGGGTAATTATTGAAGTTATGATTTTGAGAAAAAGTGGTTGGAGCAGGGTAGACAGAGGAGTTGGGTGCTGTGTTTTATATAAGTGGAATATATAAATATCGAAAATTAAATCGAATCGAATTAATTTAATTTTTTTTTAAATTTGAATTTAGGTGATATGGAGCAAGAAAAGTATTTTTTTAGCACTAAGGAAGTGAAGTATCCAAATGGGAATAGGTCAAATAGAGCAACAAATTCAGGATATTGGAAGGCTACTGGAATTGACAAGCAAATCATATTAAGGTATGGTATAAAGTTCAATCAATTTTCTCGAACGAATAATAAAAGATTCGAGACTTCGACTTAATCATAATCAATCAGTTTATTATTTTGATTCTGGTTCGATATAGCTTTAACGAGTGATTTAATTCGCGCAGGGGACGACAACAACAACAACAATTGATAGGATTGAAGAAAACACTTGTCTTCTATAGAGGAAAATCTCCACATGGCTGTAGGACCAATTGGATTATGCACGAATATCGTCTTGCCAATCTCGAATCTAACTATCATCCAATTCAGGTAAAATTTATGTTGAATTTGACTTTTTTAGTTTTAGCATCGAAAGAATTTACTTTAGATACGTATGAGGTAAGAAATTCTTAAGTATATAAAGCGAGTTGAACCACTAATTCCAACTCCAATAGATTTTCTCTTCGAATCTTAAAATTGATTCTTTTTTTTTATTTTTTTATAAGTGAAAATAAAAGTATAATTTATATGTTTTAAAGGAATAAACCTATAAATGTAATTTTTGGAAAAAGGTATTTCAAATAATTCCCCATTGGACAATTTTTTTTTTTGTCATGAATATGTAGTATAAAATTATTTGGATGTAATGTTTGTTAAATTAATTTTTTTTAGCTAAATTCTTTCAGACCCATAATTCCCCTAGTTTTAAATGTCTTTTTGTTTAATTTTTTTTAAATTAAATATCGTCACATAAATTATACGAGATGATAACGATGTGAATCTGCTATTGCAGGGAAATTGGGTTATCTGTCGAATTTTCTTGAAAAAAAGAGGCAATACTAAAAATAAGGAGGAAAACATGACAACACATGATGAGGTTAGAAACAGAGAAATTGATAAAAACTCGCCCGTTGTTTCAGTCAAAATGAGTTCTCGAGATTCTGAGGCATTGGCTTCCGCGAATAGTGAACTGAAGAAGAAGGCATCCATAATATTTTACGATTTTATGGGGAGGAATAATTCGAATGGAGTTGCAGCTTCAACGTCAAGTAGTGGAATCACTGATTTGACTACTACTAATGAAGAATCTGATGATCATGAAGAAAGTACTAGTAGTTTTAATAATTTTACTACTTTTAAAAGAAAAATTAATTAATTAATCGTCGTTAAAACGATATTAATCATCTTTTTTAACGTTCTCAGTTGCTAATTCAATTTTCTAGTAGTATTCAATCGGAATAAGCAGCTCAATTTCGATTTTCTTCATCTTATTTATTGTTATGGAGTAAGACTAAGACTCACAAAATGAAAACAACTAAAATTGGAAAATTTTGTAAAAAGTAAAAAATACTTTATTATTCGCGGACCCTTCCCCCTCTTCCAAAAAAAAATCTCTCAAAAAAATATAATAAGATGAATAAAATTCGTTCTTTTTAAGTTAAATATTTTAAATTCAAATCTTAATATGTAAATATTTCTATATAAAATGTATTTCCCCATTACTCTCTTGATGAAAACAACACACAACAATTAAATTAGTCAAGCAAATTCGTATTGGATAACAAATTATATGAAAAAATTACTAATTTATTTGAAGAACCACATGAATAAGCATATAATATAAAGGTAAAAAGATAAATTTAATCCTTGTAATATTAGATAATTTAGTTTTTGATTTATTTGAACAACCACATGAATAAGGATATAATATAAAGGTAAAAAAACAATTTCAGTCCCTGTAAATATTAGATAATTCTAGTTTTTGTTTTTTTTGGGTTACTTAATTATGCACATCTAACCTCTTAATTATTTGAAATGTGTGATTTTTGTCTTTGAAGTTAATTATTTAACAGAATGATTGTTACAAAATGTATATAATAAAATAAAATGAAGAATGATATGCAAAAATCAGAATTATATTTTATATTTCTTAAATATACAACCAAAATGATTATTTTAAATATATAAATTGATCATATTTGCCTCTCTCTTTGCTCTGCTCTTGGTTCATTAATTATGAAGTGAATGAATTAACAACTTGAGATTTTTATAAGTTTTATCTTTTTTAAAGTAATTAATTATTATATAATAGGTTAAAAATTATCCTTATTTGATTTGTCATAATAATTAAATAATTAAGATCAATTAAAAAAAATGAACAGATAATTAGAGACAGATAAAATAATAATTAATGTCAAATTTACATAGACGGGCTCCTTAGGGCTATCAATGATGTAGACTTTAAAACCTTTAACCTTTATTTTTAAAATTTCAACTATTTTAGTAATAATTCTATCAGATATTTAATTATCATTAACTTACAAGGATCAAAATCACACATTTTAAGTAACTAAAAGTTAAATGTGCACAAGTTCAATAAAATAACTATTAAAATTTAAATTATATAATTATATGAAGAGTAAATTATCATTTCCCCTATAGAATTAGATCACCTATTTGCCTATCCATTTTTGGAACCCAAAAAAGACTTCCTTTTAATTCATTTTTTTATTACAGAAAATATAAACATCCACTACCATGTTTAATGCTAATTCCTTCACATAATTAAGAAAAATCCACTTAAAAATTGTCAAATTCGTGTCCTAAGATCACATATAATTAGGGGTAATTTAATGGCCACTCGATAATTTTTTGTCTTATTACGTTAAAAACATTAAATTATTTTTTTACACACAATATTCACCTCAACTTTATTTAAATATAACATAAAGTTACTAAATGTTTTTTTTATAACGAAAATGCGACTCAACTTTAGATGTCAAAAGAAATGTTTTCTTTGTTTTACTTCTAGTGATTCACTATGCTTACTTAGTAAAGTTGAATATTTTTTTAAATAAAACATATTTTAATGACTTTTATGATACTTTAATAAGATTGAGTGATTTTTTAAGTTTCAAAATATAGTACAACAACTTTGGTCTAGTAAAGTATAAAATTAGTTTGTGTATATTCATAAAAATGTCGTTACAAACTCATATTTCTTTCTAATATTCCATAAAGGAGGTAAATAGAGTCAACGAAAGAAGCCTCGAAGGCAGAAAGAAGAACTATTCGTTTGGTAGAATGTATTAAATAATACATTCGTTCGATAGAGTGTATTAAAAAAATAATGCATGTATTAACTTTGTAAATAATTTTTTTAATGCAATGCTTTCTATTTTTAATGCATCAAACCAAACAATGCACAAAAATAATTTATGTATAATTAACACAAATATAACTAATACACGCATTGCTAATGCAAGTATTAGTAATACACTCTATTTTGACATTATATAATACACTGTATCAAACGATCCCTTAATGTAAAAAAAAAAAAATGGTGACCAAACTTGTCCTTCAACCTTGGATAGTTGGTGAAGAACTTTGAAGAAAAACACATAGACAAACAAAAAATAATAATCTGAATGTTTTGTCAGACTATCTTTTGTAATTTTTAGTAGGTAACTAACTAAGTGTTATCTCCACTTTCTTTATTTTTTTTAAAATTGTTTTATATACTTCTTCTTGAATCGACGAATTGTAAAAAAAAAATTACTCCTATTCTTTTCAGATAATACTTATATGATTATACGGAATATATATCGATTTTGTATAGACTAGTCCCAAAATACATTCCATGACACATTTCAAAGAGGTTGGTGACATTGGTGCTACTAATCTTACTAGCAAACACACAAGACAAAAAAAGAGTAAATTAATTAGGTGTATATTTGTGAAGGGGCAGAGTTAACAGAATTACTGAATTTACATGATAGATAGGTAGGTGAAATTGGAGAAAATGAAATTTCATATAACAAGGACAACATTTGAAAAAAATATATAAGAAAGTGGTCCAATGGATTCAAAGAACAAAAGGGTCTTGCTTCATATATTTTTTTTTTCAAATGTAGAAGAAAAAAAATCTGTTTTATGGGGCCACTTACGAAACTAGACAGACAGAAGGGTTCAACTGAATATCTTTCACTTAGAAATTACGAAGAGATTAATGTATATAACTAATCACTTAACTGTTTAAAGTAAAATTAGCTAGTGAATATATAATAGATGTATAATTTTTGTATAATCAATAGAATATATGTATACCAACTTAAAAAGATAAGTGAAAAACTTGATTGAATATTTATATAAAAAAAATTATAATGTGTGAAATAGGATATATATCAAATCCTAATAATTGTCATATTAAGTTTTCTTTTAAATCCTTTTATACAAATTTTTGACTATGCTGCTGGATTTCAGATTTCTGGTATGATATAATACATAAATGTGTCATTTAATTTGATTTTAACTAATATTTATGTTCTCTAATTTTGGTTGTGCACAAGTAGACATTTAAGCTTGTGTAAGATTGAACAACAGACACATTTGTCCTACATGACAATTTTGTGTCCTGCATTGCGTTTAATTTTATACAAGTTTAAGTATCTACTTGTGCATGTTCAAAGTAGGGGGACATAGATACCATATGAAATCAAATTAAAAGAACAAATTTATGTATTATACCTCGTGAAATTGCCTCGTATATGACAAATAAATCTCTATCTACTTCTCACTTAATAATTGGAAGGGACATTACCTAACACCCTTATATAAAAATGTATAATATTGTTAATCATTAACTAAATTATATGGAAATCCATAAAGGAAGACTAAGCAAAGAGATTCTCCAACTATCTTCCAACTACATTGAAAATTTAACTTATAATTAAGCAAGATTTTTCTACAAATATGTTACTAATTAATAGTTTTCCCTAATATCTTTTTTCAAATGGAAGAGACATGCATGCCTAATACTGACTCATATACATGATTTAAAATTACAAACGTATGCATAGGTCATACGTTAGAGCTAGTATGTGGACAATAATTATTAGAAAATGTTTTTCGAAATCGAGTGAATATCTCTTCCTTATACGTAAAAAGAAATGTCTCTGATCAAGTGATTATGCAGGACGTAATTCAGACTAAGCTTTGATTATATATTTGTATATCGCAAGATGAACATCTGATATCGTCAAGTCGATTACAAAACAAATTTAGGCTACGTACTAAGTTTAAATCCATTGCCACAACTCACAAAGTACTAGTGAATGATAATAATATATGTTTAAAATTCTGGTAATCATGAATTATTCAAACATGTATATATATATATATAACTATAATAAGCAAGCAAACTAATAGATAGATACTCATTGAACACTTATTTTAATCATTTGGTTAATGTCTTTATGCAAAGGTAAACATTAATTAAGAACTATAATAAGGTGATTTATTTGGATGTGACATGATCTCATAAGACAAAGATTATAAATAATTAGGGGGCATAAGCCCTTTCAATAATTGCCAAGTGGGAGTTAAGAGGCAAAAGGGCGGCTCATAGTTAAAACTTGATATATAGAAGAAACATATGCAATAATTAAATTAATTCAATAGCAACCTATGAATATGATCTCTTCATTTTAATCAGAAGTTTCAATTTTCACGATGAATATGATTCCTTCATTTTAATCAGAAGTTTTAAATTTAAATTCTGTATAAAAAAATTCGTATTAAGAAATGCTTTCTTCTTAAATGTGTGTTATATGACATATATTTAAATTATCGAAACTTTACTATAAACATCGTATAAAAGACAGGCAAAAAAAACAAATATTAGTCAATTTAATTTTTTTGAAGAAAAAGTGGGGCACTAACTTTTTGAGAAGCAAAGTATAGATATAAAAAAATGCCGACCAGAGTTCCTTGTGACAGTGGTTCAGAATCAGCTAAAAAGTCTTTTGAAGTCCTTCACGTCACTTTATATTATACGATATATACATGATAATGATAATAATAATAATTATAATAATGTTCATATTTCATTGTCATGGCTTTAAGTACCTCATATAAGGTGGGAGTGTACAAAGGGGTAAGATAAGACTTCAATTTTTTTTAAATTTTTTTTTAAAATTTCATTGACCTAATTAATTTCGATGCTGCAGTAGCAGGTGATTTTACTTTTTCCGGTGGAGTAAATCGTTGTTGTTCCAGCGATTTTGCCGATTTAGTTAATGTAAAATTTTATATTCCGTTTTGGAATTTTTGTTAATATTTTATACCCTTTAGGCTCCGAGCTCTGATTTCATATAAGGTTGTATAAATGTGTAT